TGTATGTCTGTTAATGTTTCCCTCCTTTTATCCTTAAAATAAAAAATAAATAAATAAATAAATAAATAAAAAAAAACAAAGTAGTCTGGCTGCCTATCAACTTCTGAGACAGAGGTAACCTGGGCAGTCTGAAGAGGGAAAGCGGAGAACTTGGATTTATGGCACCAAGTTGAAACTGCAGAGGGAAACAGATGGGAGATAAAATGCTTCATCAAGTTTACATTTTCCTCTCCATTCATTCAGTGACAGCTGCTCACCATCTGTCTTGGTTTTGTAAAGTTGGGTCTTTAAGCATTGATTGAACCTCCTTATGTCACCACCACAGAATGACACCTCTAAAGATTAAACCTTGTCTACCAGAGCCACTCTCTGTCCATTTAAGCCTATTGGGCCCCCATAAAAAGCAGGAGGAGGCAGCGGAGGGAAAGAGGATGAAAAAAGCATTGAGATCTGTTATGAATATGTACCAACTCCCCACAAACAATGTAATAATGACATACTACAAACATATGCTAATAAAAAATAAAAACAAAAATCAATAATAAAAATAAAGATTCCCTGGCAGCCTTTTCTCATCCACAAGCTTCGTCCTGGACCATCTCCCTCTTGCTTTCTTTTTGCACCGCTTTCTGTTTAAATCTTGCCATGTGTCCTCACATTCTTGCTGTATACCTTTGGCTCTGTCCATAAGCTCTCTTCCCCAAGCGCAATGCCTCCTTCTCCCATTGCTCAACCACAATAGCAAGCAATAGACCTTTGTTATCTGAGTTTACATAAAAGCTCTCAAATGAGGCCCACATCCTAGTTCGGAGCAACATTTCATAGGAGCCTTTGGAAATGGGGTAGGGAGGGGAACAAAGAGGGTCAGGAATACGACCCTCCTGTGATTCGATGCAAATGAAACCCAAAGTCAAATGTGTTCATCAGCCTTCACTTTGCATTTTTCACCGTGTAAAGAGTCATTTCTGCCCCAGCTATTTTTTTTTTTTTTTTTTTTGGTACCAAGAATCGAACTCATGATGTCAGGCTTGCCAGACAAGTGCTTATGCTGCTGAGCTATATCCCTGGCCCTGACCCAGATATTTTTGCTTATTTCCAGACTCCTTATATTCTTACTACCAACCCTTGCTGCAATTCTGATTCCACTGAATTCTTGTTCCTGATCTTAATTCTGTTACTTGTTCATTGACTGACCCTTAAATATCTTTCTTACATCATCAAAAAAAATTTCTTGAGTGTTTCCTATGTGAATATAACAAAACCCAGTCATTGTTATCTACGAAACAATGATCTGTGAGAAGACAGAAAAATTAACTGGCAATTAAACACTGCACTAAGCAGTACCACAGGAAAAGCAGAATGTTATCTGGAGATATCTCCTACCCAGCTTCCTAGGGAAACAAGGAGCCCTCCCTCTATACATGCTATTCAAAATTCGTTCATGAAAGTAGAAAAATTCACAATTATTGTTGGAAATTTCAGTACCTCTCAATAATTAATAGAACACATAGGAGATCAGCAAAGATGTTAGAGTGAAGAACCCACATTCATAAAACACTAAACCCATCAACAACAAGAAAAATATTCCTCTTGGGGCCAGGGAGATAGCTCAGTGGCACAGCACCTGCCTGGCAAGTGCAAGGTCCTGAGTTCAACTCCCGATAACAAAGATAAAGAAAGAGAGAGAGAAAAATATTCTTCTCAAAAACAAAATAGTTACCAAAAAAATTCTACTCTGGGCCAAAAGACTCAATTATTTCAAAAGGATGCAATTCATATAACTCTTTAACCATAAAGAAATTAAATTAGATATAAAAAAGAAATTAAATTAGAAATGAATAGAAAGAGCTCTAGAAAATCCCCAAATATTTGGAAATTAAATAATATACATCTAAATAACCCATGGGTCAAAAAACAAAATTGAAAGCAAAGCAAGATAAAAATGAAAACACAACATACCTGAAATTGCAAAGTAAAGGAATACTAACAGAAAAGTATATAAGCTCCTATAATACCAAAGAAGAAAGTTCTCAGATCAATAAATGCTGTTTCCACTTTAGAAGCTAAAAATAAAAGGAGAAAATGAAATCCAAATTAAGCAGAAGAAAAGAAATAATAAAGATCAAAGTGAAAATCAATGAAACAGAAAACCAAGGCAATAGTGAAAAACAGCAGGAAATAGTTCTTTGAGAAAATCAATAAAATTAATAAAAGTCTGGCCAGGATGATTAAAAGACACAAATTACTAACATCAGAAATAAGACTGTTAAGTCACCTAAATTTCTACAGATATTAAGGATGAAACGCAAATATAACAACTTTATGCTAATGAATTCAAAACCTTAGCTGAAATGAGAAAAAATCCTCATCAGATAAATTACCAGAGCTCATTTAAGAAATACATAGCCTGAAAACCCCTATGTATGAAAGAAAACGAAGTCACAATTAAAACCCCCCACAGGTGCAAAGAACTAGCGCTGGAGAAAGGACAGTCTTCTCCACAAGTGATGCTGGGGAAGCTGCACAGCCATGTGCAGAAGAATGAAACTAGATCTCTCGCCAATCACAAAAATCAACTCAAAATGCGAAACATGAAATATTAGAGTAAAAACATAGAGGAAATATTTTAGGACACTGGAATGGGCAAGAATTTTTTGGACAAAACCCCCAAAGTATAGACAACAAAAGCAAAAATAGACAAATGAGATTACATCAAACTAAGAGGCTTCTGCACACTCAAGGAAATAATCAACAGAGGACAGGGATGATGCACAGAATGGGATAAAATGCTTGCAAGCTATACATCTGTTGAGGAGTTAATATCTAGAATATATAAGGAATCAAACAACTCAATAGAAAAAATCAAAACTGGGCAATGGACCTAAATATAAACTTCTCCACAAGGTACATGAAAAAATGCTCAATATCAATAATCATGAGAGAAATGCAAAGCAAAACCATAATGAGGCCCAGCATGGTGACGCATGCCTGTAACCCCAGTTCTCTGGGAAGCTGAGGCAGGAGGATTGTCACAAGTTCGAGACCAGCGTGGGCCACAAAGTGAGCTTGAGGCCAGCCTGAACTACATAGCGAGACCAGGTCCCAAAAAGACCAAAAAAAAGCCAATGAGATGTCACCTCTCTCCAGTAAAAATGACTGTGATCAAAAAGACAAAAAATAACAAATTCTAATGCAGCTGCAGAGAAAAGGGAACCCTTGCACACCAAACAGGAATCACTACAGCCATTATGGAAAGAAGTACAGGAATTCCTCAGAGAATTACAGTAGAGCCAGGCATGGTCGTACACACCTGCAATCCCAGAACTCCAGGAGGCTATGGCAAGAGGATTGCAAGTTCAAGCCCAGCCTGGGCAATTTAGCAAGAACCTGTCTCAAATTTAAAAAGGCTGGGGATATAGCTCTGTGCGAAAACCTTTGGTCTGATCTCCAGTACCACTAAAAAAATTTTTTAACTAAAACTACCGTATGACCCAGCCATCCCATTTGGCAATATACCACGTGTATTGCCAAAGGAAATGAAATCCATACATCAAAGAGACTTCTGCACTCCTGTGCTCATTATACCACTATCTGCCAGAGCTAAGAAATGGAAACTACTCACTAATGGATGAAGAAACTGTGGTATCTATACACAGTGGAGTACTACTCAGCCATTAAAAAGATGAAGCCTTATCCTTTGTAACATTGATGAAACTGGAGATAATTATGTTAAATTAGATAAGTTAGGCTCACAAAAAACATGATCTCACTCATATGTGGAATACAAAAGGAGCAGATGTTAGAGAAACTGAGAGTACGGTGGCCATTACCAGAGACTAGGGAAAGCAAGTGGAAGAAAAGGACAGGTTGATTTATGGGCACTAAGTCACAGCTGCGCAGGAGCACAAAGTTCTGGTGCTCTAACGTCCAGAAGGCCAACTACAGAGGACAGTACTGTGGGATCTCAAAAAATCTAGAAGAAAGGATTTTTAATATTTTCTCCATAAAGAAATGGTAAATGTTTGCGGGCCTAGATATATTTATCCTCATTTAAATATTATAAGAGATCACAACAGATTATTAGAATAGATCAGACAGGAGCCAACGTGCATGTCCCATCTAATAGTGCAGAGCCCAGCTGCCTCCCCCGGGGGTGGGAGGGCAGGCAGGGATGTGCACACAGGACCACACAGCTTCCAGGGCTCACCAGCTTGTCTGACTCAAGAGCTGCTTCACTTTGGGTAAGCAATGGTGTCTTCCTGGAATCTGCATCCGATGTCGATGTCATCTTCCCTTCCGGCCATTGTCACTGCTGCAAAGACTTTCCAAAAGGAGAAGTGTCGCAGAGCAACACTTGGAGCCACTGCGCGGAATCACTGAGGCTTGCCCTCCCGCTTCAGCGCTGTAGGGACGTGGAAGTCATCAGTCAGGTCACCACAGCCTCAAGAGAAGACAATGCAGAGCGGAAGCCAGAACTGCTGCACATCCTCCTGACGGTTTTATCTGAACTGTACACCACGGAAAGAAGAGGATCCAGAGGTACAGACCCCTCAGGGATACCTGGCAAGAAGCAAGAGAGAAGAGAAAGGAAATTCCTCTGAATTTGTCCTTCTGGGGTGAAGGCAGAGGAAAAAGGAGGCAGCCTGCGGGGGATGGGGGGGTAGGGCTGAAGGAGGAGCAGGAGGAGAGGAAGGACCCTGTCCTCCAGCAGCAGTGCCCAAGAGGCTCCAGGACCTAAGAGCAGCAAAGCCCAGCAGCACATCTTCGCAAAAGGATCCGTGAGAGAGTTGGCGGGGTCCCACGCCCCAAGCATGCCGTGCAGGTGACAGACGACCACCTAGAAAGTCAGACAATGTGGATATCTCACAGATTCCCTGGAGAGTAGGTGAGGAAGAGCCAAACATCCCTCATCAAATCCCAAAATTATAACCTATAGAATGGCTGGAGATAGGCTGGGTGTGGAGGCGCTCACCTGCAATGCCAGCACTTGGGGGGCTGAGGCAGGAGGATCGCTGTGAGTTTGAGGCCAGCCTGGGCAACACAATGAGTTCAAGACCAGCCTGAACTGCGCAGTGAAACCTGGTCTCCAAAAGACAAAAAATAAAATAAAATTTTTAAATGACTGGAGTGGAGTTACAACTACCACCAGCTTTAGAGATGTGGGCTCAAAATACAAAATAACTTTGCTTTAAAAATAAAATATACCTGTTTCACAGCTTTGTGAACTGAGATTCATACTTGCTGCATAAATATGAGATTTGTATCAACTTGTAATCTAGAAGGAACAATTCATATCGGTTTCCCTGAGAGACAGAGGCAGATGTAAAGCAGGAAATTTTACCACTTTTCATTTTCTCTTCCCTTCTTTACAATTAACGTAGGGCTGTGTTAGGACTTTCAAATAAAAATGCAAATAGAAAAGTTGATCTGAGAGCTTTTTTGGTTTAGTATGTGTACAAGTCTTTATTAGAAAAATCTGAGGTTTTTTCTTTTTTCTTAAATAAGCACAATGAAAGGCAGACTTATTGCATTTATCAGAGCTTTAGGTCAATGGCCTTAAGTGACTTGGCACTTCGTAAGGTTTCTATAAATGTAAAAATAAATACAGCGGGGCTGGGGACCTAGCTCTGTGAAAGAGCACTTGCCTATTATGCACAAGGCCCTGGGCTCCATCTCCAGTACAGCTAAATAAATATACATTTTACCCCAGAATACATCCATCTTTGTCCCAATTTATACATTTTTTTCAACTGCTTTCTCAAAGAAAAGCTCAGTCCTCTTCCAAAAGCAGGGAATCTGGTCCGCTGAAAATCCAAGGGGCTCAGCCCCTTGCCGAGAGCACCTCAGAGGGCGAATTCTGAGCCTTCACCGCAAGATGGCAGCGTCCGCCCGCAGATGCTATGACGGCTCGCAAGGGGACCCGAGCAGGTTTAGGAACACTAGAGGGCCCTGAGGATTACCCGCCTCGGGAGAGCTGGGTGTTTGGCAGGAGCCAGACCTCTCCAGCACCGCTGGTACACACACTTCCGCCCTTGTCGCCTGCACCTCATTCACCTAACCTGTATAGGTATGGCTTTTCTCCCCTTGACGTGCTAGGGATGGAGCCTAGGGCCCCCATGCATGCTAGGCAAGCGCTCTACCCCTGAGCTGTACCCCCAGTCCCAGCCATGGACTGTTTCACACACAGGCACATGCACACGCACACCCTACACAGGATTCCACTCTGAGAAAAGGGCTCTGCACAATCTCAGGACTCAGAGGAACCTCGCCTATGTCCCTTACTCCCTATTTTAAACATAGAAGTCACTGGGGCTGTCCTATTATTAAAGAGCAGTTCCAGGGTCAGGATCCACAGTGCCTGCCTTGGGCAGCTCACACCGAGTACACCCAGGACCTGCAGGTCACGGCAGCAGAGCTGGAGCCACAGAGCCCCTCTCTGGCCAGGCGCGGCCACATGACCTTAGCCCTTCTCACCACAGGAACTGCTTTCAGTGAGGTTTCCTCGCTTCCCCCTTGCCATACAGCTACCTAGTGCTAGAGAAGAAACTTAAACCGCGTATATCTCATTCCAAACCCAATCTTTCCACTGCCTGGCATCCTCCACAGTACTGGAAGAGCAAGAATATCTGGTTCTCTGAAAACTTAGAAGCCAGTGGAATTAAAGAATTTTGCCAAGTGCTAAGTAGAGATTCTCCCACTGAAGATAAGCCCTGGTGGGGTGGGATGCAGTGGGGTGGGGTGGGGGTGGGATGGGATGGGATGGGATGGGAAGGGATGGGAAATTGTAGGCAAAGTCAGGTAGTGGTGTATAGGACACAGTCTGCTGTCAACACAACAGCATTTCAAATGCCTCACACTGCATACATTTTTTTTAATTATATGAAAAGAGCCACACACGTGTTCTCAGTCCAGGTTAATCAGCACCGTAGGCTCTTAGTTTGGAAGAACTCTGACTTGCAGTTCTCTCACCGTGTATGCTGCTGCTGGTCCTGAAAATCAGCGCGTTCAGGTTGCACGAATAACAGAAGAAAGTTCTGACAGTGCCAGGGTCATCTCACCCTCCTCTGCCTTTGTCAGAGTCCTCCTGACGCGGCCAGACCCGTTTGTCCTACCTTGCACGCACTCAGCAAACACTCTGTCCGAGCTTCCCCACAGCCTTTCAATTCGTATATTTTAAGATGGGTTTTGTCAACCAGAGATAGGGAGTTCAGGGCCTTCAGGCCAGACGTGCTCAGAGTCCTCAGTTGTTTCTCATGCTGAAAGGGAGCTGATTTAAGGCGAACATAATGCCAGCGCCCAAATATGCGAGGGGTTTTCTCTCTGGCTCTGGTGATCAGCGTAAACCTATGGACAGAGATATGCAGGTAGTTTATCCCTTTGTGAGGCAGAGCGCTGTCCCACCCAGCACTGTTCCACAGTGAAATAGGAGGCCTAGCGGACATCAATAAACACTGGTGACCTGGAGGGGTCCATAAGCAGAAACTGTTGTGTAGATGTGAGGTGCTGCGCCAGACCCTGAGTGTCCAGTGACCAATACTTGACCTGTGTTCCATCTGCCAGCACAGCCTTCACAGAAAAATACAAATTGCCACTATATAGTGTACTATCATAAGAGGCAGTGGGCCAGGCATGGTGATATATACTTGTAATCCCAGCAATCAGGAGGCTGAGGCAGAAAGATCAGCATGAGTTCAAGGCCAGCCTGAACTATATAATGAGACCCTGTCTCAAATACCAAAAAAAAAAAAAAAACATTGGGGTGAAGAAATCCATCAAAAATTACCTACCTGTAGGCATGGTGGCTCAAGCCTGTAATCTAAGCTATTTAAGAGGCTGAGGCAGGAGAGTCATCTATCCTAGGCAATTTAGTGAGACTCTGTCTCATATTGAAAAAAATAAATAAAGACACTTAACCCTTGTCTCTGTGTAGTCAGAGGTTTCCCAAAGAGAAGTTACTTAATTTCAGGTCTAAAGAGTGGATAGAATTAATTGTGTAAAAAAAAAAGGAGAAGGGAAAGATTTCCTCTCTGAGACCAAGATTCCTCCCCAAAGTTTCCCAGGACCCCCTTCAAATATATATAACCTTCACCAATAAAAACAACCTGTTGTTAAACAGCTGTCTGCTGCTGAACAAGCTATCTCAATATTTTGTAGCTTAAAGCCACAACCATTTCTGTGCCTGTGATCCTGTGTTTTAGTGGATGTACTCAGCTGTCCTGTGACAGCTTGGCCCGGCAGGACTGTCCTGGTGGCTATGCGTCCCCGGCATTCACGCTGCCATCGGCTGGGGCACCTTGGTTCCCCTGCACTTGGCCTCTCAATGTCTGGAGGCCTGGACTATATGGTGGGCTCCACTTAGAGCAGCACTCCAAGAAGTGGGCGGAGGCTCTTTCTAGCCTTCCGGGGCCCAGGCCCTAGAAGGTGCCCTAGCGTCATTTCTATCACACTGTATTGATCAAAGTAAATCATAAGGTCAATCTGGATTCCAAGGAGAGGAAAAGAAGGAATTCGGGGATTCAAGGCATAGGGAAGTAGACTCTTCCTTTCCGTGAGAGGAGCTGCAAAATATCATGGCCATGGTTTTCCCGGAGCTGCCTCGAACAAGAGAAACCTGCGGAAGACTCCAGAGGAGGATGGTGCTTAGGCTTCACCCTCAAAGATGAGTGGAGTTGTGTTGAAGAGCGGGAGAGGTGAGCACAGCACACGAAATGCGTGGAGCAGACCAGTCTAGAGACAGCCCCAGGCGGGGCAGGAGCCTGGCCTCACACTCCGCAGTCATGGGCAGGGGAGGTCAGGAAACTCGATCACAGAGGCCTTTATGTGGTAAACATAGGTGGTCAGCCAGAGAAAAATTATAATCAGGGGAGTTAAGCAATGAGCATCTTCCCTGTAGATCTGACACATCCTTCACAGACTCTGCATAAAGTCGCATCCAAGCTATTTTGTTCCCATGGATCTGGTCATAACTCCAATCAAAGCATGCTCTCTGCCCATGCGTCCCCTCATCTGTGTGAGGGGTGAGGCCTCCTCTAGGTCACATCAAAGCATTCAGAGTAAAGCAGAGGTAAAATATCCTCAGCAGATTCGTCTTACACGACAGTGGGTACTGAAACCAGGCCCAGGTCCCCTATAGGAGCAGGGAAAGGCAAATCGCAAAGTCATCTAAGCTGAGACTCCTGAGCCTCCGCCAAGCTGGATTTGCCCAGGATTTTCTTTTTCTATTTGTCTTCATTCCGTCGAAGACATTTTATTGATAAAAGGCTGCAGAGAAAAAGAACTAAGATAATACTTCTGTAATTAATCAACTTTAGCAAAGCCAGGATAGAGATCACTTAGTCTGCCTGGGGTCACATGGGCCCAGCATTTAAGCCGCTAAGAACAGAGAGTAAATATTTCCTCACATTTGTGGTTGCTCTGTGAGCAGGAACTAACATGACTTGTACTTAAAGGGCAGTCATAAAAGCCTATATATGGCCTGATTCTGTTTACATGAAAGGTCTGGCAGACCGTGGTAATACACACCTATCATCCCCGCTACTCAGAAAGCTGAAGCAGGCTGATCCCCAGGTTGAGGCCCTCCCAGGCAACTCAGTAAGACTATGTCTCAATTTTATTTTTAATTTTTAAAGAAAAAAGGGGCTGAGGATTTAGTTCAGTGCTGTCTGAATTCAACCCCTAGTACCACCAAAAAAAAAGGAAGGAGGAAAAAAAGTCAGTCCAGAACAGGCAAAGCTATAGAAACAGACAGTAAATTAAAGGTTTGCCTAGAATTTGAGGAGAAGAAGGGGAGGGGAATGGAGATGAACTGCTGAAGAACCTCGGCTTGCTCTCAAGGACAGGTGTGAAACATTTAAAAATTGACTGTACTGATGGTTGCACAACTCTATGAATAAATTACAAACTTTTGAAGCATATACTTTAACTGAGAGAAGTATACAGCATATGAATAATAAACCTATTCTAAAAAATTGGAAATACAAACTTTCTTGATGCAAATCTTAACAGTTGGAGGCTGGC